TTAATGGATTTAAAAGTGACTCAGCCTGTTGATAAGTAACACAGTATGCAGTTTTCAAATTGCATCCTAGCTATCATATGTAACCCTTTACCTCCTGGATATATTTCAAAACACACCCTTGTTATTTGCATATGCACTTCTTGCCAGCACTTGTTGTCAGTTATGCCTCCTATTCCGGCTGATTTCAGGCAAGGGTGTTCCTGATATACTGTATGTTCTGAAAACACCTTCAGGTAACCACCTACTCGTCAGATGTAACATAAGGATGAAAAATATGACTTGTTTCATTGGAATTTCCGCTTTTGGCAATGTTCCAATTTGACACTCGCTTTGCAAGTGAGAGACCTGAGTTCAATTCCAGGCAGAGGGCGAAACCTTGGGCAAGTTTCCTTACTCCACACAGAGCCTAATAATAATCCCTCCAAAAACAATAATAAAATTGGTCATTTTCAATCCATGACTGTTTGTGGGACATTGCTGTGCGCAATTGCTGCCAAGTTCGCCTACAAATATACACTCAATTCACTTTACAGTATATTCTGTGAAGCGCTTTGGACGTCTAGAAGACGTGAAAAGCGCTATATCAAATACAAGGATTATTATTTATTATTACACTCCTCCTCAAACCCCCAGCTCCATAAGGTGATTATGATGACCGTTACCTACTAACCAACTTCCCACAATACTGTCATTCAATTTGTAAAGTTGACTTTGAGTTGGTTTTCCACAAACAACAACAACAACAAAATTACATTTGTATGGCGCCTTTCACGTCGGGAGGACGTCCCAGGGCGCTGAACAGAGTACAGCATTTCAGACCCGAGCTGGGGTTGGGGGAGGTAGGGGAGGGGAAGGGGGGTAGCCGATGGCATGGTCGAAGAGGAGGGTCTTGAGACAGGACTTGAAGGAGGCTAAGAAGGGGACAAGGCGGAGTGATTGGGGAATGGAATTCCAGAGGTTGGGGGCAGAGTGGCTGACGGCTCTCCCACCAATGGTGGGGCGGGTGGGCCGGGGGATGTGGAGCAGGCCAGAGCCGGCTGAGCGGAGGGAGCGGGCGGATTGGTAGGGGGTTAGGAAGTCGCAGAGGTAGGGTGGGGCGAGGCCATGGAGGGCTTTGTAGGTGAGGACCAGGATCTTGAACTGGATCCTCTGAAGGATAGGGAGCCAATGGAGTCGGGTGAGAATGGGGGAGATGAGGTCACGGAGTTTGGTGCGGGAGAGGACACGGGCTGCAGAGTTCTGGATTATCTGCAGACTGTGGAGGGAGGAGTTGGGAAGGCCAACAAGCAGGGTGTTTGCATAGTCGAGCCTGGAGGTGATGAAGGCATGAACAAGAGTTTCAACAAACCAGCCCTGACCGGGGCAGTAGGCTCAGTGCAAGTGGCTTTGCGGAAGATGTCAAAATGTTCATCCTGTGGTCAGTTATTAACTGACATCACCAGGAGTGGGAATTCTGATGATATGCTGCTTTTTCCACCCCATTGTCCTACAAATGCTGGGTCCACATCTGCCTCCCTTTGACTGAGAAAATATGTTTCTCTTTTGTAACTTCTAGTATCTTTCAGGTGAGCCCCTGAAGGAAATGAATTACTGCAGCTGTGCCAAGCGTGATCTGCTTCCTCTGCTGATCTGATTCCTCCAAAACCTACAGATCATCTGTTATTTACCAGTTTAGTCTTTATTAAGTGTAAAGACTGCAGTTCTAATATGCAATGGCACATGTACCTCAGGAAAGACCTAAGCTCCATTGTTTGGTTGAATTATTTCCTATATTAATATACCCATAATTAGCAGCTAAATGTACAGGCATATCAGGACTTGGCTAACAAATAATACATAAGCTTTGCTTACCCTAAACAGTGACTTCATCAATGGAACTGGTTCAGCATGAGCAATAGCAAGCTAATGGGTAGAGGCCACTGATAGAGCACCTCAGCCTGAACTACTGGTTCTCACTAACTCTCAGTATTAGACCAGTATTAAGCAACAGGTACTGATTTAAAACATGACTAGATCATGATGATAATATTCCTTCTACCTGATATAAAGCGCTTCACAGTAATCACTGTTTAGTTTAGTAACTGTGTATTTGCAGAAAAACAGGCAGCCAATTTGTGCACAGAATTGTCCAATAAAGAACCATGAAATGAATGTCCAAATGCTATCTGGTTGATTGTTGGACAAAACACCTAGGGAAAATCCTTCCTCTTTTGAAATGGTGCAATGGGATCTTTAATGTCCATCTAAACAATCAGACAGGACCTTGATTTAAGTTCTCATCCAAAGGACAGCACTTCCAACAGTGCACTCCCCAGCACTGCTTTGGAATGCTCGTTTGGACTATGAGCCTCATACTGTTATGTTTTGATAATGTACTGTTCAAATGAAATTTTATTACTGTGTTTTTAATGAATTGTGTCATTTTAATATTTTAAATAATTGGGATTTCATAATGGCTAATAGTTTTGACACTAGACAGACTGGTAAAATAGGCAGACAAGTGGCAGATGAAGTTTAATGTGGAGAAATGTGAAGTGATACATTTTGGGAGGAAGAATGAATAGAGGCAATATAAGCTGATTGTATAATCTTAAAGAGGGTGAAGGTTTGAGCTGCAGCAACAAGATTGTAGGTTGTAGTACACATCAAGATTTTGAACCCATTAGGCTGACACTCCAGTGTGCTGTGTTGTATTCTTGGAGGTGCCGTTCTTTGGGTGAGAATTAAACCGAGGTTCCATCTGTCTGTTGAGGTGAATGTTAAAAGATCCCATGGCACTACTCAAAAAGTAATTTCTCAGTGTCCAGGCCAACAATCTCCCAAATTAAAATTGGTCACTCACTTCATGGCTTTTTGTGGGACATTGCTGTGCACAAAATGACTCCCCATTCTCCTACAAATACATAGTCGTTACATTAAATCCTGGAAGCCCTTTGAGACATCTCAATGACGTGATAACAACAGTTTATCAACAACAATAAGTTGCATTTATATAGTGCCTTTCACGTCGGGAGGGCGTCCCAAGTGCTGGATAAGTTGCTGTATCAAATGAAAGGATTATTATGAGTTCAAAGTCCTGATGTGGAGCTTCAAACCAAATTCTTCTGACTCACATCTCAAGATGCTTCATAAACTTCATGTAACCTGTACTCCACTTTTGAAATAGCATCATGGGATCTTTAATATCCAGTTTAACATCTCATCTGAAGGATAGCACACCTGACAATGCAGTGTTGCAGTGGAAGGTTAGCCAGACTGTGAGCTCAAAGTCATGATGTGGAATGTGAATCCATAATCTTCTGACTCAGAGACAAGAGTGCTACCAACTGAGCGAGGCTCACATTTTATTTATTAATTAAGGACATAGCATGTATAGAACTGAAAATGCCATTGCAATCCATCTGACTTGCCTCAAAGTAAACAAATAAAACGTTTAAAAAATTCTATTTTCCCTCTCATCCACTTCAACTGAATTCCCCTCCAAATAGCTACCTAATTCTCTCTTGAATTTGCTGGTAGTTCATCTGAACACTGAGAATGTTTACTTTGTAGACGTATTTTACTTTTGAAAGTATGTATAAATCGCTAATGAAAATTGTTCTGCGTTTGCTGGGAGTTTCAATGCGTAGGTTTCGCCAATGCCTGTTGTGTAGAATCAAAGTCTACAGCTCCCCCTACCAGTCTAAGTTTGTAAGCGCAGATTCAACCATCCTACATTTTTTTACACACACAGGCTTCAGTTTGAGCTGCAATTGGATGTTGTAAGTAGGGTACTTCTTCTCTACATTTGTCTCCATCAGTAATTTCTCCTCTCTTCAGGATGTTTGATTCTTTTTAGCTTCTGTATGGAATACAATTCTAGAGGCACCTGTGAGCATCCGGTACGTTGCCCAAGTTGCCATAATTCATGCATGAACCTTCATAGTGAGTGCTAGCATTCAACTGTGGCGAGCATCGCATTTGAAACCAACCTTATGCTCATAAAACATCCATAGAAACAGCCTTCAGGCTCACATATCGTGACTTGCGGCTGCTGTTTATAGCAGGATACGGTTGAACATGGGTCTGATCTCAGACCTTCCTGCTACTGGAGAGACCCCCTTTCTATCCACTAGGATTACTTGTTGAGGAATCCCTTTAAGAAAGATCGCAAATTGGCCCCGAATGTAGGATGTAGGATGTAGAATGTAGGTTTTGCTTGGTTGGAAGTTACCAAGGGGTCTGATCTATGTGCCCCTCCCAGGGTTGGTGCTCTACATAGAATGTCTGTACACAGATGTTATTGGATCATAGGAGCATAGGAACAGGAGGAGACCATTCAGCCTCTCGAGCCTGTTCCGCCATTCTATAAGATCATGGCCGATCTGTACCTCAACTCCAATTACCCGTTCTTGTCCTACATCCCTTGATACCTTGACCTAACAAAAAGTTATCCACCTCAGTCTTGAAAATTTGAATGGATCCAGCATCCCCAGCCTTTTAGGGGTCAGAGTTCCAGATTTCCACCACCCTTTGTGTGAAAAACTGCCTCCTGATTTCATTCCTAAATGGCTTAGCTATGATTTCAAGATCATTGCCCCCTTGTTCAGGATTCCCCCACTAGAGGGAATAGTTTCTCTGTAGTTACCCTGTCAAATTCCTTTATTATTTTAAAAATCCTCAATTAGATCATCCCTCAACCTTTTAAACTCAAGATTTTTAAAAAAAAAGTTTTTTCACTGCAGAGCATGAGCAAATTCTGCCACTGGACTGCTGGTTAACTGCAGACTCTGAACTGCGGATACATTAAAGAATGGCTATCGCACCTCAGAGTTCAAATGGAAGATTGCAGTATAGAATCATAGAATTATACAGCACAGAAGGAGGCCATTCGGCCCATCGTGTCTGTGCTGGCTCTTTTAAAAGAGCAAGCCAAATCAATCCCATTGCCTCGCTCTCTCCTCATAGCCCTGCAAACTTGTCCTCCCAAAATAATTATCCGGTAGTGATGTTTTACTTACCATCTTGATTTTCCTGTTTGGGCTTGTTGGGCTCTTGGGCTCCAAGCCTTGAAGAGACTCTGGTACAGTGCATTGGTTGTGCATGGCTTCAAAATCCAGAATTTCCTGCTCGGTCAGTGTCCGTTCTCTTGTGCTGGAGAATCTGTAGAATATGCAAATCATTAGTCAGCACATTAATTGGATTGTTTTTCTACCTTTCTCTTGAACAAAGGACCTTTGGGGCTATTTGTTAAGCCAGTCAGGGACTAAATTTAAAACCAAGTAAGAGGTAAAGCAAAGAAAGCCAGACAGTTTACAACAACAACAAAAAAATTATATTTATAGAGCGCCTTTCACGTCGGGAGGACATCCCACGGCACTGGACAGACAGGGCTCAGGATCTGAGCATGGGGGAGGGGTGAGGTAAGGGTGGGGGAAGGCAGAGAGGTGGGAGGGCGACTGAAGGCACAATCGAAGAGGAGGGTCTTGAGAGGAGGCAAAGGAGGAAGCGAGGCAAAGGGACTGAGGAATGGAGTTCCAGAGTGTGGGGGCAAAGAGGCTGAAAGCCGGCCACCGATGGTAGGGAGACATGGAGCAGGCCGGAGCCCGCTGAACGGAGGGAGCGGGCAGGTTGGTAGGGAGTTTAATCTGAAAGTAACATCTGTACTGTAAATGTCCATGCATTTGAACCAGCAAAGCAACATGAGATGAATGATCAATAAATCCAGAATACTGTTTGCCAGGTTCTTTATAACATCCACCTAAAAACAGGCACACAGTAGCTTAGTTTAACGTCCCATGCAAAAGACGGCACGTCCAATATTGCAGCGCTGGGTATGAGCCAGATTATCAGTCCCCAAAGTGGGGCTAAAGTAGAGGAAAGAGTGCTGACACATGAACAGGGGTTTTAAAAAAAGTAATTTTGAAAACAGAAATTAAATATAACATAGATGATAACAATAATAATCTTAGCATTTGATATGACACCTTGCTACATTGTCGAGACATCTCAAAGCACTTCTCAAAATTTATTGTCAAGTGTAATGACTGTGCATTTTGTAGGTGATACCAGTTCTTTTCTAGTTATTAAAATAGTAAAGAGTAAGTAGGAAAGAGAAATTGCCCCCTCCTCCAAAAAAAACAAACTAAGTGAAAGCCACGATTTTGAATAATTTTATTTTTACTTAAATGATTAAAATCCGAGTTTCATTGCACTAATATTATTCCAGTAATATTGGGATGTTGCAGCATATAAGTTGACATCTTATAACAAGGCTCCACCATATAAGGTTGGAAATCTATGACATAATTGACGTTCATCCTATCGTATTGGGACATCCTCCCAATGTGAAATACGCTACACATATGTAATTTGTTGTTTGTTGTTATTAATTAGTGGTTGCTCCTCCAGCGAAACCATGTATCCTAATTCCAATTCCCTGCTCTTTTATGCCCTTCCTCTACCGCATGTATTCACTTAAAGAGCTCACAGTTCCCCGACACTCAGAGGCCAGGGGTTATATTCAGCACGTGCTCAATGTAACGCTCACTCTCCAGTAATGACGCACTGACACTAGTATCCATGCTATGCCCAGTCTGTGGTGCAGTGGTAGAATATACAGTCTTTCCCAGTCTCATCAACGGAACCACGTTAAAATACATTTTACAACTTGTGCTTCAAAATGCCAGGTATGCTTTCAAACATTGATGTAATTTATACTTAAATGTAATTTTCACCCTGTTGCAGAAATAACACAGATATCACAAATATCACAGTTTGGTAGCACTTTTAGTGCAGAATGACCATAACGTGACTGGAATTAGGATACAAAGACGTCTGTTTAATATGGATATTCAGATATTGCCATCAACCTGTCCGTCAAGAGTTTTCTAGTGTTGACAGTATTGTTTCCAGTAACATATGCAAGCAATGTGGCTAAATAAGGAGAGCTTGGGCAAAAACATTTCACTCAGAGAGTTGTTGGTATGTGGACTGCCTGCCAAGTAAGATAGTAGATTTCACGTAGCCACATATATGAATGGTAGAGGCTTGATAGAGTATGGGATAAGATAGGGCAGTGGGATTGAATAAACAACTTGCTCTGAGAACTACTGCAGACTCAATGGGCCAAATGGCCTATTTCTGGGCTGTAAATGTCTATGATTCTATGATATGATATTCGCTCCTCTCCAAATCACACTGTCCTAGTGAAACTGAAACTAGTTTCATTTACTGGAGAATAGGTATCCAAAGTGAAAACCATCAGTTAAACTAAAAGAAACTTCAAGAAAAATGCACTGGTATTATCAAGCTGAATCTTAGATCACGTTTGAATCTATGGAATGCTTATAAGAGTGATATATCTGTACAAAACATGCTGACACTTATGAGAGTTCACACCTTTTAATCTACCTGTCCACGCTTTTAAAGTAACTTTTACTCAAAGCCTACATTAATTTCTATGGATGTCTTTCTTTTCTAAAATATACAATATTGTATAGAAGTTCAAGTCTGCCTTTTTTTTTCAACAGGGTAAATTGCTTCCACTGCATCTTTTTGTTTTTCTTCCTTTATCCTCCTTGTTTGGTGTGGAGATGTTGGGAATATAAGCAAGAGATCATTTGTAGCTGAACTGGTTACTAGGTGACATACTTGGCAAATCTTTGAAGATCAGGATTAATTTTGAGCAAAGACTAAAGGCACAGGTAGCAGTTTGGTGGTTCTTGCATGCATGAACATTGCTCGTTTATCATTTGTTCTCTTGGGAAATTGCTTCTGTCTGTCTTTCTCTCTCCAAATGGTAAATAACATCTGAAGATATGATAAGGGGGTGGTAGTTGGTGGGCCTGCTCACTTTTCAAGGTCCTAATTGCAATTTCCATACTAATTCCTTTATTAATTCCTCATCTTGTCTGCCTGTTTAGGTGGATATTAAAGATCCCACGGCATGATTTGAAAAGGGGAGGAAGTTTCTTCCGTTATCCTGACCAACGATAATAATCATATAATAATCCTTGCACTTTGATATAGCGCTTTTCATGTCTTCGAGACGTCTCAAAGCACTTCACAGAATATACTGCAAAGTGAATTGACTGCATATTTGTGGGCGAAGCTCGACAGCCAACTGCGCACAGCAGTGTCCCACAAACAGTTGTGGATTGAAGTGACCAATTTTATTACTGTTTTCTTTTCTTGAGGCATTATTATCGGGCGTGTGGAGTAAGGAAACTTGCCCAAGGTTTCGCCCTGCCGGGAATCAAACCCAGGTCTCTCGCTTGGTGGCGAGTGCTCTAACCACTGAGCTACAGGAGTCCACCAATACTCCAAATAAAATTGGTCATTCACTTCATTGCTGTTTGTGAGGCATTGCTGTGCACAAATTGTCTGCCACATTCACCCATACAACACACAGTACACTTTACAGTATATCTGTTTGTGGGACACTGCTGTGCGCGTTTCACCCACAGATATACAGTCAATTCACTTTACAGCATATTCTGTGAAGCGCTTTGAGACGTCGAGAAGACGTGAAAAGCGCTATATCAAATGCAAGGATTATTATTATTATTATCCTGTGAAGAGTCCTCCTGATGGGAAAGGCGCTATATCAAATGTAATAATTGATTATTGATGCTTAAAAATTGAAAAAAAATAACACTAGTACTAGTGGTGAAAACTGGTCTGCATCAAACAGGTAGGGCAGCATAGCTCAGTGGCACTCTCAGGTATTAGATTATAGAATAAATCCTAATCCTTGCCTTTCATGTCAGGAGGATGTCTTGAAATTCTTTACAGAACTTACTATAAGTTGTAGTGTTAGTGTATTTGTAGGCAAATGTGGCAACCGATTTACACACAACATTGTCAGGCATGTATTACTGTGGAGTATGCCAGGCCAGTGGAGAGGATAGGAGATTTATTTCCGTGCACCCAGTGACTGGATACAGAGTGACAGATGGAGCGATTAGAAAGTAAGCCAATTACCAATGCTTCTGCTTCTCAGTTTCATCCGCTGGCAGCCATTTGTGAACATTCCATCATTGTGGTTACCTATGAGATGTAGCACCTACTGGGGCATGTTGACTTGTACTGTGAAAGGATCAAGGTACAAGCTTCAACAAAAAGTGTTCTCTGATTAATTCCATTTGTTCCAACAAATGTAAATCACTTTGAAATGCATCACTGCAATGTGCATCATTAGTACTGTATTTGGCCCTTTTTTTTAACCTCTAGGCACTCAAAAGCTCTCCAGACACTTTGTTATACAGAAAACATTATTTTTAACCATTAAGAAGCTTGTGTTCTTTCGTCACTTTCCTCGGGCACTGTTCTATTCAATAGCAGTTTATCTGTGAGAGTCTCGGATCTCGGATCGCAACTTTTTGTTTCCCAGACATTAATGACTGATTTCCACCACAAGTTTGCTGGCGACTCCAGCCCTTGTGGGCTGAACCAAAGCTGAAAGGTAGTGATCTATAACAACATTTGTAAAGTGCCATTCATGCAGGGTAACAACTCAGAGCTCTTACAAATGGCGGAGCTTGACTCCAAGCCAGGGAAAGAGGAGAGGCGACCGTAGGTATGGTCAAAGAGGGGATTCAGGTGTGATCTGAAGACAGGTAAGGAGGGCGCAAAAAGGAGGGATTGAGGCGAAGTTCCAGAGTTTCAGGATGTAGTGGATAAAAGCACATCTGGTAATGGTGGAGCAGAGGGCCGAGGGTTATACAGAAAGCAGCTAAGTAAAGGGGCAGACAATGGAGTGGAACAATGCTGGTTGGAGAAGTAGGGTCGTGCTAGGGCATGAAGTGATTTGTTTGTGAGTGTGGATCTTGAAATTGATTTGCTTTGCAATAGGAAGCCACTGGAATCTGGCAAGGACTGGGGTGATGGGGTTTGGTACTGGTGAGGTTACGGGCGTTGGAATTTTGAATTAATTGGATTTTATGAATTGTGGAGCTAGGGAGACCAACGAGGTGGGTATTGGAAAAATTGAGGTGGGAGATGATGAATGTGTGCATAAGGCTATCAGCTGCACTTGATATGAGGTATAGTCAGAGGCAGGCGATGTGGCAGAGGTGGAGGAAGGCAGTTATGGACTGAAACCGAATATGGGGTAGGAAGAACACCTGGGGATTGAACCTGATCTGAAGGCTGCGCATACA